AGAGTAATCCCATTTTGTTTTTTAGTTCCGATTATTGAAACTTCAAGAAATTAACGGTACTCTTGAATTTTTAAATGCCCATTGAAGTCGGTTGTCTCTTATGCTTAGAAATTACTTGTTTTAACATTTAGGTTGTTCACACTTGCTTGGTTATCAGGTTATCTGGTTAAAAATTATTATTCTGTAGAGTATTTTATTGTTGTAAACTGAATAAAAATAATAACTACATAACCAGATAACCAGATAACCAGGCAAGTGTGAACAACCTCATTATTTTTCGATCGGAAAACTTTGTTTCTCTTTTGGAGATTTTCTATAACATTATCCAATTGTTTTTTTTACCATTTTATATTATTAACTATTTCTTATAGGACCCCCAAAACCCTAAATTTTTTGCAATGGGGACCCATAAAAAATAGCTATTATTAGAAATGATAGTTTTTCCATGTGCTTAATGAAACGAAATCTATAAGTTTATCGTAATATACATACAGTATATTTTGCTTAGCTGCCCATCCTTCTTTGCACGAAAAACTTGTGCACTTAACGGAAAAAAGCACTTAAGCGAATTTTCTTTAATACTTCAGTGAGGAAGGTATCCGAATCCCTATGAAACCAAATAATGGAGGAGCACTTAGGGGCTGTCCATATATTACGTAAGACCTTTGTGGGGGAGGGCGGGTCTAGAATTTTCTTACTTTTTCTTATATGGGACGAGGGGGCGTCCCGTAGATTCTTACGTAATATTATTTTTCTTGTATTCTTATTCAAAATTGTTCTTTATAAAATACGAAAATTCACCCAATTAAAGTACTAAATTGCATTGAAATGAAAAATATACATTAAATACGGAGGATATTACAATTTTTTACAACTTTTGCTTTAATTTTTCTATTTTTCTAAAAACAGCGTTGCTCTTCGGTGTCTATTATAACCAAAAAATGCAGCTCGAACACAAACAGGCGAAAACTCCCTTACGTAATATATGGAAAGCAGCTAAACATTCACAAAAAGCTGCACTTGATCTTTTCTGAGCCTCAGCGTCGAAGAGCAAAGAGGATAATTTCACGACGCGGGCGAGAGCTCATGTTGTTATATTGATATTGTTGAGTGGGTGAATCAAGAAAAAATTTCAGTGGACTGTGAAAATGATATATCTTTGAGTGAAAAAGAAGTACGAGATATCCCTGTGGCTACTCCTCTTTCAGATTGGCTGGCATGACCGTGGACCAAAGAAACCGACAACAAAGAATGACTAGTATAACTATGTGATGAAGTTTTTAAGACTGACTAGGCATGCATCCTATATTTGTTTGATTACGTAAGATCTGCGGCGGGGGGAGGGGGATCAATTAAATCTTACAATTTATTACGTGAGGGGAAGTGGGGTTCAAAACAGGCGAAAACTCCCTTACGTAATATATGGACAGCCCCTTACCACGTAGAGATTACTGCAAGCGAAAATTTTTTCTGAATGGTTTCTAGTTATCTATATAACTACAACGAAAACGTTCCGCGAGATGAGCAAAATAAATAAAATCTTGCAAAATTTGGGTAAGTCTAAAGCCAGTGCAGGTAAACGTAATACTTTATTTGATAATTGATAATAGTTGCACAATTTTTAAGGCAGGTATCGCTAATGCGCAGGTACATTGCATGCAATTATCGGAGCAGTTTCTTTATAAATATTAAAAATAATGCCGCCGATGCGCATTTTGGGGTAGGTATCTTAAAGGTGCACTTAGCCATAAAGGCAGCCTAATGTACTGTATTTGCGTATACGTGGTTATGTTTAATAGGACACTAAGGGCCGGTTGCTCAAAGCCTGGTTGACACTAATCCCCGGTTACACATCCTTATCGACGTTACCGATACCGTGTTATATGCATGAAGTCGAAAACGTCGATAACGATGTTAACCAATGATTAGTGTCAACCAGGCTTTGAGCAACCGGCCCTAAGCCATTAATATCACCGCTGACGAAGGGTGCATTCCAAAACGTCAAAATACAAAGCATCAGTATCTTTTATCTCTAAGCCTCAGTAGATTGTAATGCCAAATGTGCGCAATCACGGTTAGATGCTAGTTCTCAACTAGGTTGCGCAAGCTAGAATTTTTATTCTAGTGCAGTTTAGAAATAAAAGAGACTGACGCTTTGTTTTGGAATGCACCCACACTGTTTTGTGTGTTTGAAGAACACGCCTTAGCATAGGGGCAGAAAACAGTAAAACCAAATAACAAATATTAAAAATCAAAATTTAAATTTTCGTCAAATCGCACGATTAATCTTTAATACAAACATTTAAATTAAATATAAATGTGACATGAATATTAAATATTATAAAATATGCAGTAATTCAAACTTTATGTAAAATATTTATTAAAGTATACAAACTAAATTAGGAAATGTTTTTAGGAAAAAATAACTTTAAGGTATGGTACATTTGCATACGGTTTAAGTATATTAAAGGTAAACATTAGGTAAATGGCTACAACTACGAGTACTTAAGATCGCAGTTTTGAATTTTTCTTCAGCTCAGTTATGCAAAACAAAAGATATATCAATTATTATACATGTATTGAACTTAACTTAGGATGCTGGTTTCTAATAACAATTTACAAAGAATGCTATAAGTTTACAATTTGAGTTTTGATTACATTATTCTACATGCAGGTTACACTTTAACCCAAGTATTATTTATAATACATACATACTTACATGCGTGTAGCATGGGCTGTGTGTATTAAATGTTAATTTTCATGTAAGTAGGCAATTTCATTCTTAAGGAGATTGTAAATGTTTCGACTAAGCGAAACCTTAATTTCAAAATGATCTTAAACGAACAAACAAAAACTTATTTAATATTTTAAAATTATACAATTACAATATTTTACATTGATTTGCAGCTAAAAGTGTTTGTAGGCAGTAAGCTGCGCAGAAACCGACTTATTCGCAAAAAAAACGGTCTTTCACTTATACTTGATATGTGTATGAAAATTAACTGAAATTATTTAAAATTAAATTGCTTTATATGGAATCTTGTATTATTGAATAATAAGGATTAAAATTTAAAACAAAAGAGGTTTACTTAGCGGCATTACCATAGCTTACACATGAATCACAAAAGAAATTAAAGTATATAGCAAAGTGTGTGATATGAACTTTAACAGGCCTTGCGTTGTGGAATTTACAAAAAATATGTAGTCGACACTTAATTTAGTACATTAATTCAATAATTTCTTGGGCAGTTGAAAGTGCTAATTTTAATTTCAATAATTTTACTCTACGCCACCATGCACGTGACTCGCTTAATACAGCAGTTGGAGCATTTTGGGTTCGACTTTCAGAATTGCTATCGACTTCCTGAAATGGTACGTTTTTAATTATACTCTAAATTTTTACTTTAAACTAAACCTCATATTTTTTCTAGGTTATGTTATATTTAATATGCGAGTAAAAAGTGTACTTGTATGTATGTAGCTCATATTTTCGTGATAAAGTTTTTTTCTGAGCTGCCAACGTTCACCAATACATACTGTACAAAAAAAAAACGTTTTAAATGAGTTTATGTTCAAATGTTTGTATTATGTAGTCACCCGTTTGTTTAATTTACATAATTTAAAATACAACTTTGTTTTAGAAAATATTAGCGAAGTTGCCACTTGCGCCGTCCACTGTTTTTGGTCATTTAAAATTCTTAGAATTGCTATGCATTTACTTTTAATTTTCCTAAATTTAAATATATATACTGATATTTTTGAGAAGGTATCAATATCCGGGCGTACACATGTTTTACAACTTAGTTTCGTTTTTTATTATTTATTGTATCATTGCCAAGCGCTTTGTTTTCTATCAATAAAAGATTTTTCAATTGACATTACGACTGATAAGCAGAAATATAGGAGTTCCTTAAACTTTTATGGGCTGCTAAGAGTCTTTATCTGATTTTTTTAACACCTACATACATGCTTCCAATTTACAAAAAAAAAAAAAAAAAAAAAAAAAATGAATTTGAAGNTACACATGTTTTACAACTTAGTTTCGTTTTTTATTATTTATTGTATCATTGCCAAGCGCTTTGTTTTATATCAATAAAAGATTTTTCAATTGACATTACGACTGATAAGCAGAAATATAGGAGTTCCTTAAACTTTTATGGGCTGCTAAAAGTCTTTATCTTATTTTTTTAACACCTGCATACATGCTTCCAATTTACAAAGAAAAAAAAAAGAAAAAAATGCATTTGAAGTACGTCAGGCTACTAAACAAGACACGTTTACATACATAGAGGTCAGAATTGTGTAAAGTAAACTTTGATTTAGATAACCTTGACTTTTAAAAATTCACTGTAATTTTTCTCTGCTATGTAAGTAGTTACCCAGTCAGCAAAAAATCCGACAACCGATCCGAAAAAGGACAAAAAAGTGGATCAAATGCGGATTTAATTTTCGGAAACTTTGGCGATCCGTTTTCCCACAAAAGTGCGCGGCAGAAACTTTTGTACAGAAAAGTACCGAAAATACCTGTTAAACGGATACGTTTTCGGCTGCTTTTTCTGAAATTTGTCTGNATAGTTACCCAGTCAGCAAAAAATCCGACAACCGATCCGAAAAAGGACAAAAAAGTGGATCAAATGCGGATTTCATTTTCGGAAACTTTGGCGATCCGTTTTCCCACAAAAGTGCGCGGCAGAAACTTTTGTACAGAAAAGTACCGAATATACCTGTTAAACGGATACGTTTTCGGCTGCTTTTTCTGAAATTTGTCTGAATGAACTTTTCGTTCAATACGTTTTCCTTCTGCACTACAGATACTTTTTCATGGTTCAAAAGAAATGAAATAAAACTAGGAAGCGCCTGACGGAATTCGAACCCGGCACCTTCTGGAAGCTAACAAATAGCGGCACACTCTGCACGCTCAGCCACTACCGAATACGCATGCATGCTTTCAAATGTTTAGCTTGAGCAAATAAAATACAATTGTTGCTCTCAAATGACATCATCTTTTTCGAACGTTTCGAATGTTTTCCGGATACGAAAATTTATGATTACTGATGCTGGCTGGGTAGCGTTACAAATTACAAATACATATGCACAAATCATAAATATTCTTTGAAAGTATATTAGCTCAAACTTTCTCATTTGCCATAAAACACCATAAAACCTTTCTAAGCACATATTAAGCGTATGGAGAGGAAAACTTTACTGAGACTTTTTATAGCAAATCACTGCAAAATATTGTTTCAACTTTTGTCAAACTGTGAAAATATCAATAATTTCATACTTAGAATTAGTACGCGTTTGAAAAAGGTGGATTTTCCACCTTGTGCATATGTAAGCAATAACAAGGTTTCGATGGAGTTTTTTTTTTTAAATAAAGCATTTTAAACTCTTATATCGCCAAAAGTCAAGGTTGGCCACATACGGTGGCGAAATAGGCTGCGTGTTTACGAAACAAGTTTGAAATTAGTATCATTTCCGTTTAATTTATAGGTATTTTCACTGATTCTTGTTTTTATATGCAGCCAAATAGGGACATTTAAAAATAAAAAAGTGATTTCTAACTTATTTCCATTTGCATTTACGGCTAAGTTTTATTTTTGGTAAACATTTAAAACTATCACCCCTTTTGCGAGTGTCGACTAGTAGTAGATAAGCGACTATTAGTCGATTATCGATTATTCATGGAATTTTCAATGTCGTTTCCTTGTTCAATAAGTGACAAACCGTTACAAAAGTATGAGCGACTAAAAACTATTCACAGTCGCTTGTTGAACGTGAAATCGACATTCACAATACCATGGAAAAGAGATAATCGACTAATAGTCGTTTATCTAATACTAGTCGACACTCGCAGTAGGGGTGTATAACTAAACTCATTTTTTACAATTTTGATAATTTACTTAATGCTTTTAATTCAAACCAGCTAATTTTCTTCATACAAACAGCAGCTAAGATCGATTGGTTGATTCGATTAAAACAGAATTATATGAGTTGCTTAATGCTAAGCTTTTAATAAAAAAAATATATATATACCTTTTATATCGGCAATTCATAATCAATAGATCCTACGATGGCTGTGCATTTAAGTGGCGTAAGATTGTTACGAAAACACATACAAATGTATGATCAAGAACAATGTAATATATATGTACAAAAGTAAGTATTCGTTGTATGGATGTGGGCTTGTTGTATCTGCTGTAAATATGCGCTTAGTATTAGGCTGCGACAGGGCTAAGATTATCTTACGTTAAGTAAAAATAATTGTATTTCAATTATATGACGTTGATGGTGTTCATTAACCCGATTGTAAACTAAAAAATATACAAATATATATAGGCGAGCATGAAAGTTTTGCTAAATTCACTAGCAGTTTTCTATTTAGTGAATGGCTGACTGTTCCTGATATACATACAAAGCAATTTTCTATGTTTTTTAAGTATGGTTTACTTGTGCTTTGTTGGCAAACGCTATTAAAGTTCTCATTCGAAAGTATGTATGTGCTAAGTATGTATTTTTCATTAAAGTTGATAATTTTTTCTAATGAGGTTAAATTTTGTTATTAACTCTGCTAACTTATTTTATTTCGTAAAATATTTACATGTTTGTTAAACTGTTAAATCAATTTATTATTGTTACGTCTCACATGTGTTGCCTAAATACATATGTAAGTAATTTAAAAAATTATTTTATTTCATTTTATTCTTTAACTAGACTCAAGCATAAACTAATTCAATTGACACAAAAAAATATCATTTCACATAATTAAATTAAAATACTCTTCCTCTGCCCTTCTCACTGTTCAACTGTATCCGCTAAGGTTGTCCAAAAAATACTATTTATTCTTAATATTCGTTCATTATATTGTAATTATATGTACGTATGTCTGTGTGTGTATTATATACCTCTGAGAAAAGCTAAACAGCCAATTTAAGTTTAAAGTACTTGTTATGGAAAATCAATGCATTCGATTTGCTTATCTAATACGATAATGTGCGCCTTTTATCCAGTTAGAGCAGTAAGCACTAAAATCAGCTTTTTCCTACAGCAAAATTCCATGTAACGCATATGTAATATTAATGTACTAAGTATTTATTATTTCCAATTTAATTTAGGTACTGCCATTTCTTATTTATTACATAATTTAATTAATATTCAATGTTTTTCTACATAAATTCTCTTAAATTTTTCATCAGTAATTTACTTAGTTTTGCTCTTTTTTTGGGATTTACTCTAACCCTTTTTTTCATATTTTTGTTTTTGTGATTTTTCTTATTTGTTGTTTTATCATATAAACAGTCTCCTTTGTTATATATATTTTATCCTTATTACCATAATTCTTATTTATGTATTTATATAATAATGCATTCATATTGTTGCAATTTCTATCACGACTTTAAATTGTTTTTGTAAATGTAATATATGTTTGTTTTTGTTGGTTTAAGTATTTAAGTATTCCCTTGTGAAATTGTGTGTATTTGATTTGCTTTGATTTGCATTCATTCAATTGATTATTACAATTTTAAGTAAAAAGTGATTTTTATTTGTATTTGCGTATTTTTTCTGCTTCTAATTTAAACTAGTTAGTTGGGGTTTGAGTGTCTGTCTGTAGTCTCTGTTGTATACTTGGCTGGGTTTTTGTTTGGACTGCACTGCGCGTATAATTCTTATCATACAACAACAGCACTTTTAGCTGCACTTAATATGTATATGTACTATAGACGGCGCGTTTTTGCTGTTGCTGCGTCTGTTTATGACGTCAATGGTGACATACCGATTTGACGTGGATCTGTTGGTGCAACAGCACCCAGCTCCAAGTTTTTAATGAGCAAATGCAGCCAGTGTTTTGTGGATTTGTCATCCTGTAGACATACAGAGAATGTCGCATCACGCAGCTGGTCTGGAAGACATTGTCGCAAAGCCTCACGTGCTCTAAAAATACAGTAAACATATTTGAATATATTTTCTTGTTATTAACTTAAAAATTAACTTCCACAAGTCTCTAACTCACCTGGGATTGTCGGAAAGACGTAAATAACAACGTACGACATGCTTCAGCAGGCGTGCAGAGGGCTCCTTGGCAAGTTGTATTACCATTTTGCCCTGAAATCATAAATGAATATACTAGCATATTATTCTCTCTTACAAGACTATAATATGTGTTTCTTACCAAAATAATAGCAACATGCGAAAACCGTTCATACGTTTGACAAATATACGAGAGACCACTCTCGTCCAACAATATTTTTTGCAGAATAAATGTTGCTACTGTTTTGCTCAATTCTGAGCCAGTTTCCATTATTCGCAGACACAGTGGAATGATTTCAGTTGCTAAAAGGAAAGTTATCACTTCTTGTTCATCAGCCTGCAGAATAGGAAGTGTAAAAACAACATTAAGTAACTCTAGCAATGCATTTGATTTGCTCGCCAGCCACGACTTACCTTAACTAGTGCGCCAATAACACCTAGACTGGTTAGCCTAAGGTATTCGAATGGCCGTGTTTTGGATGTGGTTTGTAAAAATGGATACAGGAACAATGGTATTTGTGCCTGCAGGAACACTGTACGCGTATCCGGATGCGACGCAACACATTGCAGCAGCGATAACGCGCTGCAGACACGATTTGATTGATGCGCAGTGAGTGTGGCAGGATTAATCGATGGATAAATGTTAATTATCTCCTGGAGTAGGGCGGCGGTGGTGCCAAAGCTATGCCATAGCATGGGCGCGAGATCTGTCACTGTTTCACGTTTCTTACTCAATTCAAGCAAAGCGGTTTCGCGGCTCTCCGGATGAGCCAATTCGTTGATCCATTGAAATACCTGTAAATAAAGGGGAATAAAAACAGACAAAATTTAGTTTTAGTACACATATATACTCGTCTATACTGTAGTGATTAGATAAATGTTAAAATTATTATAAATTAGTGAGTTCGCATTAGTTTCGATACAAGTTTCCATCAAGCCATATAATTTGGTGAATATCATACTGAGGTGTTAGAGATTTGGACCCATTTTTCCAAATCACTGCACCATGCCCTAGGGAAAAGATTGTACGGAACATTTTTAGTGTTAAATAACAGCATTACAAAGACAATACACATTCATAATAAGAATTCAATGTCGATTGCATCGTACTTGCATACATTGCTCGCAAAATGTAGCAAAAATAGCTGCTTATTGTCTTCTTATGCGGAAATTAAAAAGGATTTTAGCACGAAATTTGTACATAACACGAAGCATGGTATAACGAGCAATTCTTCATCATTTGCTCAAAAATTTCGTTTTTGAGTAATGTCAGTCTTTTAGTAAATGACCGATGTGTGCATAGTATCTAATTCGAAAATATGCTCGTTAGTCATTATAAAGACTCGTTGTTGAGAATTGACAAACTTCTTATTTTGAATTCAACCAAAATACAGCACGCACAAAATAATTGATTTGAGCGCATACACTCTTAACGAATTGTTGAATTGTTTTTTTAGCACCATAATATTATCCGAAAACAAAATTCAAGCATTCCATACATATGTGCATGAGTGCGTGTTACTTGTTTATGAGTTAAATTGTGTGAATCATGCGACGTCAAGTCCCAGAAAAATAAAAATAAACTATAACAATAAACAAGTTAGCTGATTATAGCATGGTGGCAGCAACAGCGGGTATACATACTTCTAACTCAACGATAAGAAGAAGAAAACAAGTTAGTGAAATTACGCACCAAACCACAGAAATAGAAACATATTTACTACCTTTCAGAAAGTCATAAATAAGGTTTGAATGTAATAAATTTGGAGATGTTTACGGTTTTTAGATGGGTGCAACGCGAGTCGAATCAGGCAGTTCTGCCGGTAAATTGTGCACAAACCAACGCCGCCTCCTAACGGCAATTGGCTTTTTATGAGAAGCTCTTCATTTCAGATAGATATCGTCAGTATATGTAGTATGGAAAGGGCGAATTTCACATCGTCGCTGCAATGAAAACCTAAAATTTTTTATTGCATAAAGTGATGTGGGGTCTTATAATTCGATGAGATGCATCATACTCAATAAAAAGTTAATTTTGGATTTTTAGTTAGTTACGGCTTTTTGTATTGCAGCGACGATGTGAGTCACGCCCTTTCCGTACTATACTAACGATATGTATGAATCAAATCAATTAAATGTACATCAGACTGCATCATGGGCTACACTTTTTTCCTAAAAATGGCCTAAGGTAGCAAACTTTCAAAAAATCGTCATACAAATTTGCTACTTTTTAATCGGAAAATATGGAAGAAAACTCGCAACACCCTCGAAGAAATCTAAAAAAATAAACTGTAATTTTTAAACAATTGAAAGTTACAAATTTCGTTGGACTACAAAACTGCATTCGGAATTTTTTTTAAAATCGGAATAAAAAGTTTAAAATTTTCTCTCGGGTTGTTACGCTCTCGAATTTGCTCTCTCTTGCAAATATTTTGGATTATTGAATGCATTTCCAGTAAAAACTTGCCAGCACTAGTAACAATTCGTTACAATTTTTTATATTGAATGGACCTAATATAAAGTGTGCCAGCTAGCAATGAGATTCTATTTCGGTACACTTATTTGGTAATTTATTATCATAATTTTTTCTTTCGTTTGACACCCTTTTGAGTGAGAACTTATGAAGTTTTTTGCTTTAAGAAAAAATAAATAAAAAAACAAGTCAAGAAATTCTTGCCGCATGTGCAAAAGCACACATAACGTTGCAGTACTGATGTTTTCTTTCTCTCATGATGAGGACCTAAGCCAAAGGTTAATGTCAGAATTGTAAAAAGCGAAAATGACAAACTCAAATTTTTCGTTAGATATTGGGATTTAATTTAATAAAAAATTAATAAACATTAAATAAACAAAAGAAATGGTCAAAACTCCTATTATTTTGTTTACAACTGTATATGTGCTAGAACATTCCATATTCCGAAATCCCGGATTACAGCTCCGGGATCCCGATATTTTTACCGATTTATTTACGGAATGAAAGAGATGTTGAAAACGAAAAGAAGAATTCATTTGACATGAAACACGAGAAATACAGAACACCAAAATTTTGCTTCAAAGTGAACTTGAGAAATTTGCACATGGAAGTGAATTTCAGGACCTGTCTGAATAATTGTACTTGTTCAAATATTTTGTGCAAGAACCGTGTAATAACGAAAAATCTGGTAGCAATTGAAAACACAACAAGCTTTTACAGTGTGGCAGAGTTGTTCTTCATTTTACTTTGTTGGCCTTTTTTGGAAAAGGATTTCGGCAAATATGAGTACATGGGTTTGACAAATAATATAAATATTTTAGAATACAAATATTTAAACATCAAATTACGTGCTCTTTTACTAAGGGGCATTATGCCATCTGGCATTATGAATCTGTGTGATTTGAAAAATGCGAAAAGTTGTGATGAAGTCGAAATCCCGAAAAATCTCGGGATACCGGGATTAGAATTTTTGAATTCCGAAATCCCGGGATTGTTAAAATGCTTCGGGATTGCATGCCCTATTATGTACTACGTATGTTTTAATGCGATAACACCCAAAGGTTTATGTATTTACGCGAATTTATTTAGAACGCAATTTATTACCTGTATCCATGTGCCTACATGAGTGCACGTACACATATGTATGCACATTTAAACGTTCATTTGTGCATGTTAGGCAAGTTCAAAATAAAATAAAAATACCAAAAATGTTTGCTGCCTGTTATTGGTAAACAAAATCTGACTGCTAGCCTTTCATTTTTTTTGCAAATCTCACTGTAATTTCAGGCAGAATTTAGGTGTTTCAATTTTGTTTGTCAAAAAGAGGCGCATTTCTTGATGATCTTAAAGCGGGGAATATTGAAATTGTCCGCTGAATAACAGCGAAAGAATATTCTTATTATTATTATAGTCGTTTAAGTCACAATTTATGTTTAAAAAAGCATGAAATAATTTTCAATGTACTACATATGTAGAGTATGAGGAATGTCGGCATGTGGCCATTCAAACATTCTGAAAAGGGTTTTCTTGATAAGGCAATCAAGTTTCTTGTTTCTCGGGTAGCTTTTTGCATTTTTTGTTTCAAATAACCTAATGCCGTCTGATTCCGAAGCACTGAGGTCGATTGTTTCTCAGACCAAAGAATTCAATATCTATTGAAAGCAAACTGAGGTCGGTTGTTTCTCCGACCAAAGAATTAAATATCTATTGAAAGCAAACATTGAAATAAAGAGCAAACATCCTTAACTAATAGCACCTTAGCTAAGCATGTGGTACGGCCTGTGCATCATTAGGGGTATTAAATCAGCGGCCGATAAAGTCTGTGGTTTGCGGTGCATTTATAGATGTAACCTTACAGCTATTCCGCGTGTTGCAGTTAATTTTTTAGCATTTTGAAATTTCTCCATCTACTGAAATGCTCGGCTTTGCTTTGTTTAATTTTTTAAACGTCAAAAACTGGATTTTTTTTTTAATTAGTACCACAAAAAATATGACACATATGATTTCTTCCAGATATGTAGCTAACATGGCGGATAAGACGTGAACTACCTTCTAAAAGTAATTGTATCATGGAATTGAGGTTTTGAAAATGTTACAACGGCATTAATCGTAGCTTTTTTATTGCGGGAAGAAAAGATTTGTAGCTTTCGTTTTTTAGGAATAAATGGTATATTTACACATATTAGGGATGTTAATTTCTTCGAATTTTACCATCCCGGGATTTAGATATTCACCATTTTTCAACTACTTAACACGAAAAAATTGCTTCAATATTATTTGAGAAGCTCTCTTACGATATAATAAATAATAAATAAATGGGTTTGAAACCCATTTATATTTGATTTATAGTGAAAATTATTTCATAAGTAACAAAACAAAAGATAGTAATTAAATCTACAGTATCGGTCATATCTATAGCACGCCATTTCAAAGTAATATTGTGTGCCACTTATGTTTATTTATTTATTTTTAAGAATTTTCAATTAAAATACAGTTCTTTCTCTAACAAAACCCATATAAACCAATGTTTAAAAATCTGTAGAAAACTACAAAAAAGTGCAGCAAATTTTCACCTAAATTTCAAACTTTTTTCTCGGAAGTGTTTGAATTTTTCTGAATACACAGTTTTATGGCTCAATCAATTTTAGTCTGATAATGTGCAAGTTTCAAGTGGATAAAAGATACCGTTGATTTTTTAGAATTTATTTCGCCAAAGGTGTTGCGGTTTTCTTCCATATACAAATAAATTGAGTTTATTCATTATATGGAAGCCAATGCGACAAAAAAAATTCTAAAAAATTACTAAAGCCAGCCTTTTGAACTAAGCTACTACTTACTATTCCATACGAACGCAGATATATGTATATGCAAAAATAAGAATGGTATGTTTCAACGATTTGTTTAAAATTTTATTAAAGTTGAATCATCGGTGACCATCGTTGTCGATGAGACCATTCCATCGGCTAATTCCGCTCCCATTACTCTTCAATCTCCTTACACGAGTCTCCTTCTGCTACTACGTCTTGTTTTGTGTTACCAGTATCTACTTGTATTGAGGTTGCACATTATGGTTCTGCCACTTCTGCTTCTGTATATTCTGATGATGCGGCTCCAGGTACCCCCACTTCTGTAAATCGCTCAGCAACTATATCTTCGCATATCATATCTTCGATATGAACTCTTTTTATTTTTAGCACATTCTTCATTAGAATCTTTATGTTATAAAAACAGTGAAAACTCGTAATTTCGGTATTTTTTTTTAATCTAAAGCTTCAATATGCATATAAAAAAGGCACTAGTTATACACTGGTGGCCCGATAAT